CACACACACACACACACATATATATATATATATATATATATATATATATATAAGTAGAGAGAGAGAGAGATATATATATATATATATATATATATATATATATATATATATATATATATATATGAGTGTGTATATATAGTGTACGTTATCGCCGAGAAGATTGGGAATATGAATTTTCTGTGGGGCAAGTATGGATAGGGGAACGCCCAGCTAGGCTAGCATACTGTGTGCATCACGCTGACGATTTTCATTTGGAAATTTTATACTCCCATTTTGTGCATGTAACGCTCAACATGCGCGCATGCGAATAGACACGCACAGATTGTGCACCTGAGAATCTGTATGCGGGGTTACGCTCAATATGTGCGCATGAGAATAGGCACGCTCACAGTATGCCCTCAAGAATGCGAACAGCGGATGTATGCTCGTATCGTGGGTTTGGAATGAGCGCGTGTACATTGTGTGCATGGGAATAATCACGCCGATGATGTACACTATCACGTTATTACCGTGCGCGTGGGCAACGTCTGCGAGGGACGTATGCGGTATTAGCGCATGGCTATCGGCCATTCGTAATAGAGTAGGCTTCGCAGGTCTTTTTGACGCATACGTGCGCAGCTGCTTTTAATAGTAACATCTATATAAATAAGTATTCAGTCGAGTGTACGAGCATGTAGAGAAGAAAGGCATTTAGGGGTTGTGTGTCAGTAAAGTGTAGCTACTGTCTCGCATGTATAGTGAATTTTGTGCTTCATATTTGTGGTGGTGGTGTAATTACCTTGCTAACTTGTAAGTGGAGGATATGAGGTCACGCTTTGTACTGCGCTGGTGTTCTGAGATACAGAGTATAGGGAAGAGTGCCATAGATCGGACTTCAGGCTTATCACTGTGCTGCTGCTGTATTTGGCTTTTGGATGGCAAAGCTGAAACTGCACCATTCGTACTCACATATTATCGTCCTTTCTGTCACCAACTATACTAACAAGCGGTTTGTATGGACTGCGTATGTGCTGATGGATGGTGTTTGTGGGTACCTGTCCGCATATCATTTGTTATATGGTAGTACTAAATGCATGTGCAATTTTGATCACTTGCTTTCGAATAATATCTCCTGTGACAACTTTTTGGCCCGATTTCTCAGCGTAGCTGACATGCAGGTATGTATATGCACAAGGTGCTAGTGTCTTGTGCGTATTAAAGCACAAATATCAACTGTAGGAGGGTGTACTGTGTTTATCTTCCTGTTAAGTAATCAATCATATGGTGGCATATTGCGTATATGTATGTTTGTGTTAAGTCAGGGCTGTGTGGGCCGAGTCTGCCCACATAGATGTTCCTGTAAGGAAAACCAGAATTGAAAGATGCTCAGTTGTTGTAGTCAGCAAAGTTTCGAGACAGAAATTCCCTCTGGCTTCAAGTAGTGGTGCGTGTATAGCCTATCAGCATCTCGTGAACTGAAATAGACAAGACGGAGTGTCAACAGATAGTACTAACGGCATTTTCGGGCTTCATCTTCTCGCCAGAAGAGTGTATATAAAAAGCCAAAAGGACGAGACAAAAGTAGGGCCCAGCGCAATGTGTTCACGGAACACTGAAGTAGTTAATTGGGGGTTTCAGGATCGAACTGACATGTATCAGCTTCATATCCTAGTCCCAGAATTGTTTAAGAGCGACTGTTTAAGTACAGCGTACATAAAAACAGTCAAAGAATTATTTTGAATTATTACAAGATTGTCACAGCGTAAAGGATATAGAGGAAGACATACACCTCA